CACTGAGCGTAATTATCAAATTATGAAGGTTATAGAGGCATACCGGTGTCGAAAACGAGGTGTACCACTGTAGGCGACGACTTTATACCACTGGTGACTTTTTTATCTACGAAAAAGTGAATTAATCAGTTAAGTTCGGTTTCACGGCTAAGTTCATTGTCGCTTCGATTAAGTCCGATTTTGGTTTTCCGCTTGCGAGCTCGAATCTGGTCTCTATTCTTATCGTCGTATCTCTTATGATAGGACAATCGCGCTTCGCGTGTGCGCTGGTAGTAGCACTTCTGCGCTGCAGTAGTGCGCTCCTTGTTAGCTGGCATTCATCAGGTGAGTACGCCATCTTTGTATATTATTAACTTTATCAGGATTATATTATTTAAAGCTGGCGCAACCCAGCATTTTTCTGAGTTAGCAAGACAGTTAGGCACGAATAATATTTTCGAAGATAATTTACAACGTTCATTTTTTCCAGCTAGTGTTCTGTTGGATTAATAAGATTTTCTTTAACAGTGGCTGTTTGAAGAGAACCTTTATTTGTGTTATCAACTAACAATAGGCGATTTTTCTTCTTCAGCACTGCGTTCAAATTTCCCCGATACGTTGAAAGCAGCGAATCGACAGAGCCCCCGCCTATCGTGGTTCGATGAGGGGGCGGCGATCGCCAAACACCTTCCCCGTTCTCTTCCGCAATTCCAGGTATTTTTCGAACGCGTCAATGAGACTATCTGGCACACGTTTCTCAGTTACCGAATCCACGGTATGTCCATAGTTTTTCCAGCGCTGGAACACCTTATCGCGGTAATTCGCATCCTTCCCCATTTTAGACAGCTTCAGTCCATAGAACAAATTATCCCCGCCAAGCCTCTCTTCATTATCGTGCTCGGTCATCTTGCCTTCGTCACCCGTCGTCTGGTGGCTTCGAAGGAATCTCTTGTCCTCGCCAGAGAGAATACGCGAGGAGTGAACAACGTCCACGTTCAACACACTAGCCTGATCGTCATGTGATACTGCTGTGCCACTTGCAAGGAGGAGGGCCGCAAGAAGCACAATGGTCATGTTGAAGAGACGCATGGCTGGCTGGGTCTTGAAGCTGGAGGAAAATTGCGGAATGAGAAATGCGGTAGTTGTAGGCTGACTAAGATGGCTACAAAGTGGCGGTGCTTCTCGAGTGTCTCATGAGAGTCGGATGCTGTACTTGTGGTCTCTGGTCTCTTGTACGCACCAGAATGATTCGGAGCAGCAGCAGGAGCATGTCCGTGAGGAATTTCCATAATCCAGTACTAGTGTACTGAATTTTAGGGAGATGGCCATATAATATGCAGTTTTTCAACACCATTTTCCTGGTTATTACTGTCCTCAACGTGTCATGGTGCGTTCACGCAAACATGACGAGGTCCTTCCACTCTTCGGAGATGGGCACGACGACGACTTAATAGCAGGAGTTCGTCGTGGTGGATACTTACTGTTTGGGATGGCTTGCTGATGGTGTGCCGTGCATGCCGTGTTCGCGGAATCAGCGCCTCGATCGGAAGTTCAACCCACAGCGAGCCGCTTTTGTTTTTTCATACTCAAAAGGGTCAGTGATTATAAATATGCCAACTACACGCTCAGCACCCTACTCTGTTCCAAATACTTGAAGTAAAAACGGTTACCTCTGTGGCCTCACAGAATCTATGATCTCGCTCTGGTTCCATAACAAGCGATGATTTTGAAGCTCGTGGAGCACAAAAATGGCGCTAGAGACACTTGGGGTCTTGCAGTTGACCTTAGAATCACTATACGAGGTGCGCCATCTTGAACTCGATCAGACCCTTGCTAGTTGGGTCTCCTGTGTGAAGAGAAGGATGTTGCCGTCACCGGTGGAACGCTTAGGGTAAGCAGAGCGTTTCTTCAAGATTTTAAACGTCAAGTTTTCTCTAAAGTGGTTAAATGGGTGGCTTCGTCGGTTCACCGGATTTCGTAGAAAGAATGCTCCTGCGGAAGTATGACTGCTTCCATTTTAAGCACCCTAGAATAGGAATATTTGACCTTATTGTTTTCCTTTTTACAGCTGAGGGGTGAGAGGGAATAATAACTTGCGTTTGTGCCACTACTTGTGGTATTCAACTGGCTACTATTTTTTTGCTGCTGAGCAAGTATTCCAGTTACTAACGAAGAGACCGTCTGTTGCTTTTTGCTTCGTCTGCCTCGTGTTGATTGGTACAGCCACACCAACTCGATGGTTTCAAACTCAAAATCAACTTTGAGCTTCCACGGTATTTTTTAGTAGATGTCCAGGTTAGTTTGTGATAGACCCCAGCGAACTTGAATCCCGAAAAGAACCGCGGCGGAGTTCTCCCGATTTTTTTTTTTATTTAAGTGCTTTTTACCTTAGCAGAAGTAGTACAAATCTGTTCATCAATTATGGGCGTGGAGGTAGCAAATCCGCGATTCAGGAAGTGCATAGTGCTACAAACTGAGGAGTAACTCAAGTTGGGCGTCAAAATATTAACACTTGAGTTGTGCAAGAAGCAATAGAATGCTTCTATACACCTACATTGATGCTAACACGAACTGGGAACTTTTGGTTGCTACTGATTTATAATTAGTGCGAACTTAGTACAATCGTACTACACTCCACGTCACGAATTAATTGAATGATTTAGATTATTCAGTGCACTAGTACTGAATTATGGAAATTCCTCGATGAAGTACCTTCCAGATTGGGTGGGTGAACTGACCGAGAAAACAAATGAAGTCTCCACTGATCCAATTTTAGGGCCAGCTTATATCTCGCGGGAAGCACTGCGAGGCCAATTAGAGCTCTTATTAGTGGCACGAGGCATCCCTTTTCATATTTTGACACACCCTCTCGTTCCGCGGGGCCATTATGTGGCACTCACAGTTTTACACGATATTGTCTACTACTGTAGTGCAGGCTACGCTTGCATGTACTTAGCCAGCCAGCTCCACCTACATGTTGTAGTTGGGGAATCAAATCCTGAACAGTATCCAGAGTATCGACAATGCTGTATACGGCATATCGACACTCAAAATGACAAGACACACCGTTACGAGTCCTGTGTTGACATGGCTCGCGTCCAAACATTGGGGCCAAAGAAACTAGGACCATGTAGACTACAATAGTTATTCACTTTGCTATTTACCTGCAAATACATTAGGCCAAACTTCCTGGGAGCTCCGCCGGCTCCCCCAACCGTGTCTTTACTTTTGCTGGACTCTGCAGCTACGTAGTATACGTAGGCCGGATGTCGGCGATGTGGTCAAATCGCCCCGTCACCGCCACCGCTACCGATACCGCGGTGAGATATAGGACTGGCCTTAGGATCAGATAGCACAAGCAACGACCGGTGAGTACGAGAGGACAAGACTTACTGGATGCGTTCACCACGAAGGTACGCTGTACGCCAGAGCACATAATTGCACGTTCACGTAAATTAAAACCGAGATAGAAGGGAACGTGCTAATGTCCAGCTTCTGTGACGTCGATCTCTGTGATGCGACATACGTTAATTACACTTTGACTTATGTACGGACAATACAATAATGCGAACTTTATACATGACCTGTGATTGGCTATCCGTAAACACTGTAACTCACTAAAACTGGGTGCTTCGGGGTACTTTCTTACACATACAAGGTGTGAGTCGATACAAGATTACCAATACCGGGTACTGAGAACCTATATGTTGGGTTGGGCCTTTAAACGAAATGAAATGTTGGTGACTGGTTTCAGTACCTAACGTGATTTGAACGTTTGTGATGGTGACATTCGAGCTGCCACGTTACGTATAGTTAATGCTTTGGACCAAAGCAAACAACAATTTAAGCCTCGAAACCGCTGACAGCAATACAGTTTACTTTTAAGTTTTTGTTTTGGAATTTGTCGCAGCATACCAGCTCGGTAAAAAAAAAAAGAACTCAACGGACTTGGCGCAGTTCACAATTATTACGTATATAAAAAAATGAACTCAACGGACTTGACGCAGTTCACAATTATTACTTTGATTAAGTATAACATACGTTCAATCTATGTGTAGTCCACTTCCCGTATCCAATCTAAGCCAACGCAGCGAAAACATTGGAGCTGTGGTTGCGATCGGCATACCACCATTTAATCGGGAATCGAACTATTGAACTTAGCTCCTGCATGTCGAAAAGACAGTCTGCTACTGGCATATTGTATCGTAGTTAAGGATGTTCCATCATGAAATGATGAATCTTATCAAACGAACAGCGTACAATCTTTTTTTGTAGAATTTATTGTCGATTGAGTTTCTGGAGGATAATTTAATGGTTATTGCTGTGCATTTCTTCATACAAAAGTAATTACATTAGCCGGGTTCTATGTTTCGCCCAGTTCAAGGCCACTGACTGTCTCATTATTTTACATGGGGTAAGCGCGAAAAATATTTATTTTCTGTTGGTATTGATCTCTTTGATGCGTTAATATAATACTCATCCACCCAGCAATCAATGCCTGGCATACTTACCGAAAAGTAGATATACTACTGCAATGCACTCCTTGTCTGGAATTCATACAAATCACGATGGACCTATAGTAATCTGCCTAAGCACACTAATGGTACAAGGATTTCGCTTCTTGTTTTCACTATAAAGTGACTCCCTTCGCGTTCAATTTGTATTAACAACAGGAACATTTTGTTTGGTGGTGGCTTGTGACTGGATATTTTAATGATTCTCCTAGAATATGTACGGCGAAAAACAGTTCTACCTATTGATCTCTGTCTCAAGAAAAAAGGTGCACTTAAGTACGCATGAACTTGTTTAAAATGAACTGTAATATCCCGTCATACATGGAAGAATTTGATCCCATCAAACTGATAGACTTGCGTTTTGTAAAGTCCCTTGATTATACTATCTAACTTGAAACTTGATACAACGTGGTGATAGAAGAACCAGTCAAATGTGGTCAAAACCAATGTTATGTGACATGTATTCTGTATGAAATCATGTGCTCGTCCAATAGGCCACAGTCGCAAAAAGTGAGATTTTCGCGAATTATGGGTGTGTAGCTTGGGTATCTGTGATATATGCGGTACAACACTATATGCAGCGAACAATTGTGTTTTCGCAATAAAAGCGTCTAAGCCGCGCTATTTTCGGATCTTTGTGTCAATTTGAGTGCAACTTACTCGCAGCTGTAATACTCAGGTATTTACGATAGTATCGTATTTTTATCGATAAAACATTGAATTATTTATAAAACTAACATTTCAAATTGCTTGGTATGAACGCCAGTTTAATTCCGCTGCACACTGCAGACACTAGTTCATACTTCATCCAATAGCTACAAATGCTTCAGTGGGTAGTAGGGAAGAGGTTGCAAGCTGATAGTGTGGCGAGGGTTGAAATTGGCAGGCTAATGTAGGAGACGCCAGATCGGTAACCAATTCCAGCTTTATGTTATCGTCGGATCGTAGTTATCTCAACTTCGGCCTGGTGACTTGCCACTGTGATCGAGGTTTATTGGAAAAATAGGTGAAGTGTGAAATGTTAGCATCTCCATCCTACAAAACTTATATTTCAAAATAATCATTACGAATTCGTGTTTAACTCGAATTTTCACGAAACTGTGCATCACCTAATGATTTAAATCGTTACGATCACAATAGCAAATCCTAGATAGAACCCTATCCCCCCTTCTTAAGGCCTAGAAAACTTATTTTTTAAAATAATATTAACGAATTCGTGTTTAATTCGAATTTCACGAAACCGTGCATCATACGCAAAAACAGCCTTTTTGCTAATCCAAGCCGATTTCACCGGAATTTTTTTTGAAAGGGTCTCAACAGAAACCTTGGAAAGTCTTGTGTGTCGTCATATATTCCATAATTTTCGAAATTGAAATAATCTTCGTTCGAATCCTACTAAATTTCAGGTATGTAAACTACACCAACCGCCTTAGCCTGACCAACTTGTCATAGTTGATCAAAGTTGTTCTACGGGGCCTGTTAGCTAAGGGAGGTTAATCCGTAGTCAAAGTTGAAGATCTTGATTACTCTGTGTAACGGGACTGTAACGTTGGAAGCTGTATTCTTTTTGCTTTTAAAAAAAAAGAAAGTGTAATATATGTATATACTGGAGATTACTTGTCGAGATCGTTCGATCTCTTGCATGCTACCCCTCTTGTAGCCAATCATCTAGAGTACTCGACAACAACCGTAGAGGTAAGTAAACACGTGCATAATCTTGGCAGACCTTACTGAGATCGTGATCAGCTAGTAAACAGCCATGTCCTTGACATGGTGTAAACAGTGTAAGCATATACGTTACAGATTTCGCCCTCCATTCTGACGTTGTACCTAAGCTATAATATAATCCATCAGTAATTGTTAAATTGATTGTTGATAGAAGGCCTGGTACAATAGCCTAGTTTCTTTTCGTAAAGCAACTGCACAGGCC